AGAAGAAAGTAAGAGAGGGGGGGAGGTGCTTGGCCGGGGATTAAGATTCGAGAGGTAGAACTTGAACGAATGAGCTCTCCTTCATTTTAGCGAGGTATTGCATTTAACGAGGCAAGCAACGTCTGAGGTGAGGATTATTTCAGCTGGATTCAAGGGATTCCCTTAGAGATTTGCACAGAGAGGTTTACAAATTAATGTGATTTGAAATATTATTTGACTTTCCATTTTCTGCTTAAACACAGGCAATGTTAATAATGATTTTCTATAATTAGTAATAGCATTAAATTAGGATGGCAGCAATGCTTCGATCAACTAAAAGTCCTCGATTTGCGTGCTTTTTTTGTTTCACATGCATCTTGTCTCGTTTTACATGTCGAATTCTCCGAGTATCAAAATTGGATAAAGTGATAGTGCATTTGGGGTCTTTCTGATGTTTTGGTCGCAACGACGTAGTCCGTTTTGCGATCGGACTTCGTTTTAGTATCGTCGATGTCTCATTTCTCTTGTAATGCGTGCATTCGCATCATATTCGAATCGCCTCGAGATTCACATCATCACCTCAGACGATCCAAGTTGATTAAATAAAATGTATATTCTTAATGTCGACGACGTTCCGGATGCAACGACGCAGTCTGTTTGTCGATCCAACATCATTTGGTCAGCCTCGCTCTTTAATTTCGGGTGTCGGTCATTCCTTTTGGCCGATCTCGTCCGATTCAATTGCGAGGGGCCTCGACCCAGCAGAATTCAGTGTCCTAATTGCAACGATACCATTCATTTGGCATTCAGAGGTCATTTTATCCCTTAAGTGATGTGTTTTGTCAATGCATGCATTGCCTAAATCATTGTTTTTGCCTCTTTTTGCATGGTTTTATGTGTAGGGTCAACACCTTCCATGTTAAAAAAAGCGTGCACAGGGATTGCCCGCTTCATTGTAAGCACCGCACCAAGTTCCCTCCCACCACGCTAAGAAAAGCGTGCATGGGTGGTCCCTTGGCGCGCCACGAACACCGAAAAAGGATTTTAGGGGGATTACCTGCCTCGCCACAAGCACCGGAGCGAATTTCCTACCACCGTGCTAAGAAAATCGCGCATGGGTGGTTATTCGCCCCGTTGCAAGTGCCGAGAGCGGGTTCTCCCAAGTTTAGGAGGTTATACCTTGGCGACTGGTTGCGACGAAAAATGCATACAAATATATTTCTTCTATTTTTTAATATATTTTTTTAAGCTCTCTTCTCTTTTTTTTAATCTCTTTTCTTTCTTTATTTATTTTAAAAAAAAAAAAACATCTCCCTCCTTATTTTATCTCACACATACACACACATATACTAATAAGTAATAACAATTAATATCTAACTAAAAAAAAGTAAACTATATACCTAATTACCTAAGTAGGTCGGGTAGAAGCTTCGTGTACAGGCAGAGTGGGCGACGAGTTAGCTTCAGGCAACAGGGAGTGAGGGCGGAACTAGTGGGGTTTGGTAAAAGGAGGTTGGAGGCCTTTGTCGTTTGAGGAGTTCGGTCAAACTGGATGGAGGAAGAGGTCGAGCTTCAGGAGATCAAAAGTTTGAGCCTGGAGTTCGGCAGGTAAGAGCAGGTGGCAAAGAGATTTGGTGTGGATGTTGCTGGCTTAAGGGATTTGGACGAAGAATCATGCGAAAGGTATAAAGTTACCTTCACAGTGAGCTTCCCTTGTTGCTTGCGATCAAAATTTCGGAACTTCCGACCTGGCAGGAAGGGAAAGTCGTGGAATGGGCGAAGTCGAACAACAACAGAGGAGACGAGGGAGGTCGTGTGGAGGTCTCCGGCTTGGGTCGGTGTCGGCTTCATGTGAAGAAGTCGGATGGGGGTTTGTGGTTTGCGAAGGCTATGGGAGGAAGTAGCGAAGGAGAGCTTGTGTGCGGAAGTGAAGAAGAAAAAATTGCCGTGGGGTATCGCTCGTTTTAAGAAGACTTGAAGGCCAGTCACATGCTTTGCGAGAGAAGACGCGAGAAAAGACTGTTAGGCTTCGTTGCAGAGTTACGGGACTTGAGTAGGATTTGCGCAGGATAGGCGGGATGGGTCGCCTGGCTAAAGGTAATCATTTAAGCCTTTTTTTATTCTTCTTCTTTGGCTTAATCTCAGAGGTCAACAATGGTGATGAGACCTGTAATGCTTTTTGGTGCCGAATGTTGGCCATTAAAAGAGAAGCATAATACTATGTTTAGTGTTGCAGAGATGAAGATGCTCAGGTGGATGAGTGGATTTAACCTTAAAAAGAGGATACGAAATGAGCATATACGTGAAAAGTTTGGAGCAGCTCCAGTAGAAGATAAGATTTGAGAGAGTCGCCTTAGATGTTTTGGTCACATAAAACGACGGCCTTTCGATGACCCGGTTAGGAAAGTAGAGGTATTATATTTGACTTATATTAAGAAAGTTAGAGGTTGACCTAAAAAGACTTGGTTATAAAATATTAGAAATGATCTTTCTTTATTAGATTTAAACTATAATTTGACTTTTAACAGGACACAATGGAGAAAAATGATTCATGTAGCCGACCCCACGTAGTAGGACAAAGGCTTAATACTGTTGTTGTTGTTGCTTCTATATTTTGTGTGCATAAGCTTTATGCATGATTAGTGCATTTCTTGGAGTGGTGTTAAAATATTTTAAATAGGTTATTGCCTATCTGTATACAGTGTGGGTTTTTGTATCAGCCTATATTTGTGTGGGTACTTAGATTTTTGCATCAGTATTTAGTAATTTACACAAGCCTTGAAATGAGTCCTTGTATTCCTGCATCTAACATTGGTGCAAACTTCCTTCCTAACCTGCAAACGTATTAATCGCCTATGTTTGTATGAGGCCTTTTTTGGAAATCTAGAAAGTGATCCAATTTGGACCAAACTGTGTGATGAGTTTCATTTATATAAGCACTTCGGTTTAGTTCTGTTCTTAACTTTTTGGGATTGTTTCAATTTGACTGTTTATTTTTTAAGAGTTCGGTTTACCCAAGCTGACCCAACCGTATACTTTCTTTTGTCTGATGGTGTAGTAACTTTCTTTTTCTTGAATTTGAAGCTTTGAACTAGATTATAGAGGTGGTAGAAGAAACTACACAATCAGCAACTAGTATGCACAAATATGTAAGTAGTTTGTAAGATCTGTAGAAATCAATCAAAATCACATCTAGCAGTAAAAATTGGAAGAATGTCTTTCTTTCTTGACATGTTATTCCAAATTTAAACCTTTTTAATTTTAACTGTAAAACTAGAGAGAATGACGTTCGAAAGCTTTGGTTAATTTGTGTTTATATCATTTTTGCGAATGAATAACATATTCAAGGATTAGATGAACAACTTTGATAAAACATATTCTGCTTGAATTTTTTTTGGATAAACTGCACTTCGCCTGAAAAGTCAAAAATGTAAATATTCTGCTTGAATTCAGTTATCCTTTGTCGATTTTGCTTTAACTAATTCTGATTTATTGATCAAGCCAGGAAAGCCATGCACAACCAGTTATCTTAATGATTTCCTTGGGTTGTACTTTTTTTCCCTCTTGTGAGTTTTTTAGTATTTCATATGGTGTTAAAATTCTGCAACTTATAATTCTTAGTAAGATTTTGTTATTTTTATTCTTTACTAATACCCAAAAATAAGCAGGTGGACCATTTTGTGTGAATTTCTGAAAATATCGTGAATTTAAATCATCTAGCCATGAACAAACATCTACATAGCTTTCTGCCGAACAACTAAAGCTCCTGTAACGAGCACTTCATTAAAAATCTAAAATGTGCAGGTTCTTTTAATAGAAACTCATCCAAATCAATTTTCAGTCCCCAATCTTTTGATTCTCTAACTTCATTGAAGTACAGGTGAAGACATTAAGGTGTTTTTCCTTTACCAAATGCTTCTTGAATTTTACTAAAATTTCCCATTGGATTACATCAGCAAGAGCAATTCATCATCAAAAACCTAAAACTTCCTGGATTTCAAATTGTGGATTAAAAGCTGGAATAGTTGTTCCCTTAAAACTCCTCCCCCTCTAGAATACATACAGAATTACTAACACTGAAAACCCCTTTGATTAGTGCAAAACTACATTTTCAGCAAGTTTTTGGATTGACAAATTGGGCATAAAGATATTTTGCTTGAATTTTAATTTATTTTATTATCATTGTTTTTATTTGGTTCGTTACAAAGTCTGATTTGGACCATCCCAGTTCCAAAAATCAAACTGTGTCATGCTACTTAAAAAAAAAAGGAAAACTACATTGAAAAAATGTTGATTAGTATCTTCCTTCTCATGTATTCTAATCCTTAAGAGTGATGAGTCATGCTCAAAAAGCTTTTCTTTAATTGAGTAATGAGGAGTTAATTTTCTTTTTTATTTGTTGGCCATTAAAAAAGAGACATAATATTAAGTTAACTGTTGTAGAGATGAGGAATGCTCAGGTGGATGAGTGGCTTTACTCTTTGAGATAAGATATGAAATGAGCATATACATGATAAGGTTGGAGTAGCTCCAGTGGAAGATAAGATTAGGGAGAGTTGCCTTATATGGTTTGGTCACATAAAATAGCGGCCTTCCGATGACCCGGTTAGGATAATAGATGTATAGATTTGGCTTATATTAAGAAAGGTAGAGGTAGACCTAAAAAGACATTGTTAGAAAATATTATAAATGATCTTTCTTTATTAGTTTTAAATGAGAATTTGAATTTTAACTAGACACAATGGAGAAAAATGATTCATGTAGCTGACCACACATAGTGGGAGAAAGCCTTGATGTTGTTGTTGTATTTGTTTTAATTCTTCTTTCTCATATTTTCCTGTAGAAGCTGTATGATTTATTTGTGTAAGTACTATTGTCTAAACTTATATTCTCAACCAGACACAATGGAGAATTTGACTCTTAACTGGACACAATGGAGAAAAAAGATTCATATAGCCGACCCCACGTAGTGCGATAAAATCTTAATATTGTTGTTGCACTTAACTTATATTCTCATACAGGTGGAAGAGCTGGTTGCGAAAGAGAAGGAGATGCAAGAAAAATTAATGCAGAAGCATGTCGCGGTTGTCGATTGTTTTGAGAAGAAATACAGTGGCAGAGAAATAGAGAACAGGGTCGCTCCTTATCAGCAGAAACTATCAGCCTTAAAGCAGGAAGTTGATGATCTTCTTGATTATATTGATGAGATCTAATCGATTGCCTGTTTGATGATATTAGCTCTTTTCAATTCCTTTTGCTCAGAAATTTGTAGGGAATACCAAAATTTTGGCTATGCCATGGCTATTTATAGCTTTTTTGATAAGCTGGAAAGCTAAGTAAGAGGAACTTATTTAACAATAAATTATGAGTTTTGCTAGCTAGAACTGATGTATTTTAATGGAATTTTTATTTTGCAATGCAAAGATATGGATCTGGAAATTTTGTTGGGATTTACATAACATATTATATAATTGTTTTATATATTTGTATCTAACATCTAAATTTTTATATTTATTTATATAACATTTTGGAAGGCAAGCCATATGAAAATTTATATATATGTTTAAATTGGTGATATTTTTATCTGATTTAATAATTAGTGTTATGTGTAAATATACAAATTTATATGTTAAATATATAAATTTTTAAGAATTTAATGTTTAGAAAAATCACTAAAAATTTAAATGAATTCATAAATATTAGAAATAAAATTTTTTAGACTTCATAATCCCTACATAATGCAAAAGTCAACTGACCAAGTTTTTAAATCTTATTTTAATAAAATAGAATAGATTAGAAACCTTCAAATTAAATTTTAATATTTATGAGATGATCATGCCTACCTCTTGTGATGAGTTTCATCAAAATTTAAAGTAATTTATATTAGAAAATAAAGTGGATGCCTAAATTTTATAATAAATAAATAAAAAAATAAATAAGCTCGAATTTTTAACTAAAGTTTTGCTTATGATACATAGCCTTTAGAAAATTTTTTATATAACTTCGGAGCTCATCTTAATAACAAAGTTAATTTTTATCATAAAATAATAAAAAATAACATAAAATTTAGATTAATACGAAATAATTCAAAATTTTGATAGAATGTTCCTAAGTTTGTTCTCAACTTGAAAAAAAAAACATAATCTTAAATATCATCCGAAAATTAATTAAAAAATAAACTATAAATTTTGTAATATCATAATGAAATAATATTAAAATTAGAAAATTCATTAAAAATTAAATAAAAAGAAAAAGTCAAATGAAATGTCATAAACTTATAAATTACCATGAATAATAAATTATATAAAAATTGACATCATAGTTTAATTGAATAAGTGAGTTTAGCTAGTAATCATTTTTAAGTGTGATTATAATTATATTAGACTCTTAATAGAATTGAAAGTTATAAGTCTCTTGCATTTCTTTAGACTTAGGTTCATGTTACTATGTGTAGTAGTTCTCACTTTTATTTTATGATATATGACTGATATTTTTTTATTTATTACATTATAAGTCACCTAATAATACTCCATGTCTTTCCTTTGGCTCCTTGAAAAGAATTGTTCGAAATTTGAATATATCCCTTTGAAAATTCTGGTTTTGCTTCATCTAATCTTTAAAATCATAAATATTTGCCACTACTTTAATTAACAACATTTCTTAGAGATTATAGATCTTTGGAATGTAATTAATTATAAGTGATTGCTTTAATGAGGGCCTATACATTATAACAAAATAAACTCTCTTAACCGCATTAGGTAGATACATAAACTCTCTTGCCAACACATTCGAGGTTAATTATACATCTACTTATGTGCTAATGACCAAAACTTAAATGTAGAACAAGAACTACTAAACCATCGCTCAATCAGCGCCATCTTACTATCGCACTATTGTCAACATTAAACCATTGCATGTCTGCCACTATCAACCATTGCTAACCCGCCCTGTCAAATCACTAGCTATTTCCTGAATGTGGTCCTCTACCCACTATTGCAAAACAATAGTTGTTTGCCTATTGTATAGTGGCTTGATTACCAGCACTCAACTACGATCCTCTGATAATTGTCATTTGACTATAGTCATTCGATCATCATTACCCGATTATAATCCTCTTACCACCATGACCCAACTATGACCCTCTGACTACCGTTGCATGACTAAATCTCTTTATACAACTAAAATACATTTATCACTTCCACCATTTGTTCACCACTATCCAGAAAATAATTGTTGCAGAAATACAAATTGTATCTCTTATATATATATTTATATATATATATATATATAAATGAAGTAGATTTTAAGGATCTGTTTAGAATGGTTGTAACTTTTTTTGTAAATATAGTTGTAAAATTATTGTTGAGAATGTAACATTTTAAATGTTGACTCAAGATTGCCTAAATAATATTAAAAAATAGTTATGGTTATTCTCTATTTGGAACTGCCCGATGATCATAGTCACCACTGACGCGGTGGTTGTGGATGGTAGAAAGAAGATTGTTATCTTTAATATACCCTCTCTTTTTATATATTTACTAACCCTAATCAAAAGGAAAGGGAAAATTGAGGGCCACAACTAGCAAATATCATTTAATCATAAAAGAGGGTTACAATTGATTACAATTGTGTGAAGCAAATCATCCAGAAAAAGAACTTAGTGTATATCCAAATTTTATTTGGGATAATTTTCTTACTGTTTTCTAAAACAGCTAAAAAATGATTTAGCACTGAGGAATATTGTTGAGATTCCAAGGGTGTGAGGTCAAAAAGCCTGCTTGAATCCTGCAAATTAGGTTCTAAAAGCAGTTTGGTAAAGATTTAGGCTTCGTTTGGGACGGCTTTCTTACTGCTTCATAAAATAGCTTTTTAGTACAAAAATTAAAATTTTTATACTAAAAAGCTACTTTAAGAAGCATAAAGAAAGTCATCCCAAACGAAACCTTAAAGTAGAGGGGGTTAAGAGTTGCTTTCGTCTTGTACAAATTTGTTGTGTCATAAAATCATCTGGTACAAATTAGGTTGCAGAAGCTTTTTTTTTTTTTCAAGAAAAAAAAAATTGCACAAACAAATAGACAAATGTGGTTTAACTATTTATTATGATAATTAATCGCAAGAAATATTTTTATTTAAAGAAATGATTGCGACGTGTGATCTTACTAAGGCCATGAAGTTATAATCTGTCGTTCTTGCATTTAAGAAAAAAAAGAACTAAAGGAATATTTAACAATATCATACAAATTAAAGTTGACTATCAACTATACTATAGAAGTCCTCTGCTGCGTATTCCTACAATGTTTTTTTTATTTTTATTATTTTTTTATTTTTTTTTTTATTTTTATATTCCTACAATGTTGGTCTTCTAATTTTCTTATAAAATCTTTGAATAATGACCTTTATCCAAAATTAAAAAAAAAAAAAAGCTTGCGAAATAAAATCTAATTTTCACGCAATTTATTAAAATTTTTTCCTCTAGGTTTGGGATGTTCAACAAAGATGGATGAGATATTTTGATAAGATCTTTAATGAAGATTATGATAATATGACCGACTTTAGTGATTTAGCATTCTAAATGAAAATAAAGATTTTTATTTTTATCAACATATTAGGAAAAATCAAAGTTATGGAGACTTTAAAGGAAATGATGTGTTGAAAAGCTGTTGGACCTGATTATATTCCAATAGAGGTATGTAAATGCTTAAGAGATGAAGAAATTTTTTGGCTTACGAAACCTTTCAATATTATTTTGAAGACAAAAAAGAAGTCAGATGAGTGGAGAAGGAGTGCATTAATTCTTACTTCTAGGAATAAAAGGTGATGCATGCACAAGATTGTATGAATTATAGAGGAATTAAATTCATGTATCATATTTTATGACTATAGGAGAGAGTTATTGAGCATAGGTTATGACTTGACACTAATATTTTTCAAAATCAATTTGGATTCATGTCAGGTAGATCTACTATGGATGCTGTATATATATTTGATGAGAGGATTAGTGGAGAAGTGTGAGAATAAGGAGGATCTAGATATGATATTTATTGATTTAGAGAAAGCAAATAATAAAGTTTCAAGAGAAGTGCTATTGAGAGTTCTAGAAAGGAAAAGGGTTAATAATGCTTAGATTAAAGTCATTAAGGATATGTATGCAGGAGCTGTTATTTGTGTTCAAACTTCAAACACAAGGTAATTTGACCAAGTATTTTTCTATTTCAATTGGATTACATCAAGGATCAGTCTTAAGCCCATATCTTTTTTGTTTGTCATAAAGTCTTGATGTTGTTGTTGTTGCTATTGTTGTAAGTTTGGGATATGATGCAATATTGTCTTGCTCTCTATAGTCTTTCGTGGCAACATCTCATTCATCTTGTGCTCTTAGTAGAGTCTTTGTAATACTCTAATTATCATAGATGCTCTTGATGACCATCATAACTTTGAAATATATCATTCCTTCATTTGCCATCATTTTGATACAACATTGTTGATGTCACACAATATTAAACTTTTACAAACTCAAAATCAATATTTTTTTTTATAAAATATAACTCTGAAACTATTCACTCTTTAAAGCTATGTTTCTTTTCCTTATCCATTCTTCTCCCTTAGAAGCTTTTGTGCCTAACTTGAAAATTAAAACTAAAGAGGAGGGGATATTTATACATATTTAGATTTTATGCACATCATACTTTAGTTATTCATCTGCTAAAATAATCTCAATCTTTTGTCTTCACCTACCAAACTTATGAGCTTTCTATGATATGGACTGAAACATGTGAAGGAAATACTTTTGCACATGCATTCTGAAGTGAGTTACCTTGTATAAAGGAGCAACATGGGTAAGAAGAAGAAAAAGTTGAATTACTATTCAGATTTGCTAGCTATTTAATGAAATTACTAATTTAAAATTAAAATATATTTATTTATTTTTATTATTTTGAGATCAAATTCAACAGTGCATTTTAGTTTGAATGTAGTTTTATAAATATATATAACAATTGAAATTACATAATAGATATTTTCTTGTTAATGTAATGGTACTAATGTATGATATAGGCAAGGGTTGAATGTGTGCAATATTATCCATATAATATAAAATTTATTTTTATGAATATATAAAAATTACTCAAAATAATTTATGAACAATAAAATCAACATTTCAACAATAAGGAGGAAAAAAAATAGAAATTTTACCACCAAGTCGAACATTTGAGTTATGATGATGATGACATACAACTACTCTAATTAAATAGGAGAATAGACTTGAAAAGGATGACTTGATCAATAACCTAAGAGGTGGGGCTAAGGGAAAATAAATGCTTTTCAATATATACTTGATTAATAGATAAAAAATAAGCCAACCTCTTGCAAGTCAAAAATACTTATGCGGCTCATTTTGATCTGTTGGTTGAGAACTTTATCTATCATCCAAGAGGTCTTTGGATTGTAGCCTGCATATGTGATGTGTGCACGAGTTTACATTAATTGGATCGTAGCCTACAATGTTGGTCTTTGGATCGTAGCCTGCATATTTTTTCTTTCTTTCTTTTATTATTAGTATTAGTATTTATCACATGGATGAGATGTAATATAATGCAAGCGGGAATTAAATTCAATATCTTGGCAATAACTTCCAAAGCTCTTAACTGCCAAACTATTTGGCATGCATGTGCCATACTTTTGTTAGTTTGTACACTATATGTTAATATTGAAATATGATTTACATATATTCCACAAAATTTACATATATTCCACAAAATTCTTATATGTTTACATATATAATGTACATATCTTTTTAGTGACTTATATAACATTTAAATATTTAAATTATTTTAAAAAAAATACCACTAGTACTAAACCTATGACTTTTTGTTAAATGAATTAGGGCTATCAAAAATTGACATGACACGATAACCCGACCGAAACCTGACCTAAAATTTTTGGGTTAGGATCAACCTATTTAAAAACTAGTTCGGGTTTACAATTCCGAGTCGTTTGAAATTATCGGTTGGGTTCAGGTTAACCTGAGAACCCGATAATGACCTGCAAGGTTTAATTAGGGTGTGTTCGCATAAGTGTGTGATTTAGTATTCTTGCCTGCCATTCGTTTCTCATTATGAAGCTTCTCGGGCTGTCAGCTCTCCTCCCTCTCATTCTCTTGCTTCGTCTAGGGTTTCCTCTTCTCCTCGATTCTAGTCTGAAACTCTCCTCATTTCTCCAGTGTTTGTTGCTTAGTCAAGCTCAGTCTTAACTCTTGCATTCTTAATGTGCACATCTTCTCAGCCTCAAGAAGAACACTTAGTCAAGCTATTTTTATCTCATTTTTTTCCCTTTTAGAAGCTTCATCTTTGAGCGTCTATGGCTATTAAAAATTTTTGAAGGATTTAAATTTCATCATCTCGGTTTGTTCCTTTCAAAAGAATGTCTCATTTGTTGTTGATCTTGTCAACTTTTGTTTCATTTAGTCAGTTTGTTCATTCCAGACGAAGCTTGTCTTAGACTGCTCGGTTTAGGATTTTGCGTTGAATAATTTAGGGTAGCTGTTGTGTGCCAAAATTGCAATCGAGTTATTTACTTGTTAGGGTTGTTGTCTGGATTGTGCAACAGAAGTAAACCTACTGTTTGTAAACCTATTATAAGTTATTCAAATCTTTCACTATTTACTATTGTTGCTTCAGACCAGGGTTTTCGGGTCGTACCGGTTAACTCGGGTCCTAAATGAGTCCATTTCAGGTCTTACAAAGTGACCCGTATTAAAAAATGGGTCGGGTTAAATAGTGTCTTGTCAAATTCAAGTTGGACCCAAACCCGATTTTGACTGCCTTAGAAAGAATGTCAATTCTCATAGATATTAAGGTTACACATGATTCTTGTTTTTTTTTTTGTTACTTTAAAAGGTTACACGTGATTCATGTGAACAGTAAATAACAAGTACGATTCATCTATATATATTTCTTTTACTGTTTACATGAATCACGTGTAACCTTTTAAAGTAACAAAAAAAAAATCACATAAATCACATGAATCACATGTTTTTTTTGTTATTTTTTTTTTCTTCAAAAAAAAAAAAAGAATCACATGCAGCATTAATACATGGATGAATGACAGATATCATTCATCTATAAATACCCAACAATTAGTTGAGACATCTATTAGTTATTAAATTCGAGCTTCCATTCTTTGTTTCCTACCTCTTCTAACGTAAATGGGTAGTCAAAATGTGTCCAAGATCTTAGTTATTGGAGCAACGGGTTACATTGGGAGGCACCTCATTCAAGCAAGCATTAAGCTCGGCCACCCTACCTTTGCTCTTGTGAGGCCCAGGGGCGGAACCAGCCTAAATTCTTAGGGGGGGGCAAAATTATAAAAAGATAACAAATAAATTTATAACAAAATTTAAATAATTTCTTATATTGCAATAAAAATTACAAGCTTTGCATAATCTCTCTCTCTCTCTCTCTCTCTCTACTATCAAAATATATTTATAAAATCTCTATATATATTTTAATAGATTTAGGTCCGATCATTTTTTTTTATTTATGTTTTGTTTGGGACTGCTTTTTTATTGCTTTATAAAATTGTTGTAGAGAAATTAATTTTTTAAAGTTGTTATTGAAAGCGCAGCTTCTTAGTACAATTTTTTTTGAAGCAGCAAAAAATTAGTGGCCAAATAGAAATTGTGGTTACGATCTGAAATGCAAAGCATTAAGAAAGTTGTCCAAGGAGAAGACTTAGGTTTTGTTTGGGAAAGCTTTATTGCTACTTTCTAGAACAACTTTTTAGCACAACAATTTCTTGAATTAGAAAATTTTGTACTAAAAAACCGCGTTCAAAAGCAATAAAGAAGCTATCCCAAACGAAGCCTTAGGCTGCATTTGAAACTAGTAAAAAAATCATCCCAAATAGAATCTTAGTTACTTTCTAAAGCAGATTTATATTACAAAAATTCTTTAGAAACTAGTAAAAAAATCATCCCAAATAGAAACTTAGTTGCTAAGGAGAGAATATCAATGTCATACAATGGCCAGAAAGTCAAAAGTTTTTGGAGGTATATAAGCTTTTTTTGCGAAAATAACAACGAAAATGTCATAATAGACCTGAGGAAACATTAAAAAGGATAAAAACGCCAGGAGAAAAGTAAGTGTAGAAAAATAGAGGAGCCATGGTTTTGTTAAGAGTGGAAGGTTGGAAAACAAAATCTGGAGAATGACCATATATAAGTGATTGTAAAGGCATCTTGACTACTAAAGAGACGAGGGATGCTTTAATGACAAAATTATCAACATGAGAAATTTCATTGGAATACTTGGCAATTCAGAACCAGCGACCACCAACTGAGAAAAAAAAAGAGTGTTAGAAATAATATATTTATTTTGATTTTAAGGTACTTTTTGCAAACTGATGAGAGAACTTCAGCCATGCAAAGTATTGGGCTTTGCATGTCTCAAACTAGGAGATGGATAAACAGTAAATGTGAAAGAAATAAGTTATTATATATGTTGGTATCAGTGGCAGCGTAACCAGCAGATGTTCCGCCGGTAACTTCTTAGTGGTGAATTTTCTAGCGGAAAACCTGCCGAAAAGACTACTGGTTTTTGTAAAACTGGCGGTAAGTTCCGGCGGAAAAAATGCGCTAGAAGTTATCTGTGGAACTTCCAGCGGAAAATTTAAATCTGCCGGCTTATTTAAACCCGACATAATAGTTCCGGCGGAATTTCAGCAAATATTTCCAGTGAAAAATCCGTCCGAAAACCCGCCGGAGAAAGCCCTATCTTCCTTCCGCTATGGTCTTCCTTCTCATTTCCCTCCTGCTTGTTTCGGTTCGCTCCCACTAGTGTCAGTTGCCTCCAGCCAAACGTCGGAACAAGGTTTCTGATGCACGTTTTACCGTCGACTACATTTCCGCCAGAAATTTATATTTTCCAGTGGAATTTTTTTATTTCCGGTGAATTTTGGCCGCCGGTAATAAGAGATATTCCTGTAGTGCTCTAACTTGAGATAGAATAAGTCATTTTCCACTCAAACACTTGCAATCAAAGGCCTTGTTAGATAATTCACTCGCAAAGGAATGTTAAACAAAGAATCCAATGAGAATAAGATGAATTTATCACTATGTTAGGATCAATTATTTTGTGCGGACACCGAACGCCGTCCAGAGACTTACCAGAATGTGCCACATCACTCCTTGCTCAGTATTGCATCTCAGTACTGCTCAGTACCGCAGTTCGGTACTACTGACGTGGTGCATTAATCTGGTTGATCTCTGGATGACGTTTTGTATCCACTCTCCGCACATAATAATTTCTCCTCTCTTAGCACCTTTGATGTGGTATTTTTTTTAATTGTGCTAATTAACTATTTGTAGGGTGAGTTGAATGATCATGATTGGTTGGTGAATATGATCAAGAAGGTGGATGTAGTATTCTCATTATTAGGCCATGAACCCAGCATACAACTTGAGGAACAAACTCGCATAATATCAGCCATAAAAGAGGCAGGAAATATTAAGGTATATCTACTCTTGAAATTCATTTAGAGTTTGCTTCAACCCAAATGTAATTCAAATCACATCAAAATAAAATTTTAATCTTAATAAACATTTTTACAAAATATGGGTAGAATGTAATATAGATAACACATATATAATAATATTTTTGTTTTTTATATAATAAATTAAAATTAAATTTAAATATGAGCTAATTGGATATTAATTCATAGTGATTTGGAATGCAGAGATACTTCCCATCTGAGTTCGGATTTGATGTTGATAGAGTTCAAGTTTTGGAACCTGCAAAAAGCGTATTAGCAATGAAGGTTAAGATAAGAGAAGCTATCAGAAAGGAAGGTATTCCTTTCACCTTTGTGTCGTGTAACTTCTGTTGCACCTACTTCCTTTCAAGACTTGGGCAGGTAGAAGAAACTACAATTCCTGACGAGAGAGTTTTTATCCTCGGAGATGGAAACACTAAAGGTTATCAACTACCAATGTTTCTTTGGTTTTTTTTTCAATATCTGGCCTAGTACTAGCTAGTTAAGTAGTGTTAGCTTTTGACAAAGCTTTTATAGAGAATTGAATCTAACTTTTCAACTTCATCCTTTTTAACAATTTAATTTCTCATTCAATTTGTATTCCAATGGGATTAGAGTCATCCATCTTTAACTATTTGTGTACCTAATTAGACTTTGTTTCGGGCTGCTTTCTTACTGCTTCTTAAAGCATCTTTCTAGCACAAAAATTTTATTTTTTTCATTAAAAAGTTGTTTTAAGAAGCAGTAAAAAAATCGTCCCAAACAAAGTCTTAGTATAGCCTTCTTAAGTGATGAGGATACATTTTTCCTCTTGCTAAACTTCAATGCTAATGTAGAAAGCACTAGCTTTTGTCTATCATCTCTTTCTTTGGCCATTTATTTCTCAAACTCCTCATACATACATATATTATTATCCATGAAAAAACAAGTCATCTACATACAAGTACACAGTCGTCAAAATATCAAAATTTTGGTCATTGATATAAAGTGCATACTCAAATGGAAATTTAACATATTTTTTTTCTCAAAATTACATGTCAATTTGAGTACTCCATGATCTTGGTGTTTACTTAAAATTATATAAGTCTTTATTTGATTTTAAGACTTTCTCTCATTTTCCTTTAACTTCATAGCCTAAAATCTGTTCAGTGCAGCTCAACATAGATTGATGATCCAATAAATAGATAGAAGATCCTCCTTACATCCAAGGAGATAGCTCGTCTAATAGTTTCAAGATGAGAAAAAAGAAAAAATACCTCATCATGCTCAATACATTTTTAACTATATACTTTAGCCATCGATTGTGCTTTGCATCAATCCACATCACATTTAGCATTCTTCTTCACTGGCCTTTTATACCCATGTAATAACTAAAATGGCACCATGTCCTTATGGAAGTGGAGCAAGCTACCATCTATCACTCTTTGTGATTACTTTGATTTCTTCATTCATAACATCTACCCACTTCTTGCTTTTGATTACTTCTTAATAAACTAAAGGTTAACAATAGCTAAGGAGACATAAAAACAACACTATCATATGGATTTTTGGTTAGTTCATAAACATGATTTAAGTTTCTAATATGAGATGTCTTCTCATTTAAACCTATACTTGAAGGTGATGTTGAAGTTGATCATTTACATTTGCTTAGTGAGATTAATGGAGAAGTGGGCTTTTGTGATTCTTATAGTATAATCCCATCTATAGTGGATTGCTCACTTTCTTCTTGTTTCTCAAAAAAGTGAAAAATTAATTACACTCATCGTTACATATTTTTTTACCCATAAAAATCTTGCTCATCAAACTCTACATCACAATTAATAACAATCTTGCTAATAAGTGGATAATAGAGCTTGTAGCCTTTAGAGATTGAATCATAATCGATAAATAGTTTTTCTTACTTTAATTATCATTAAACTTTTCTCTCTTATCGTCTATTACATGGAAATAAGCTGCACTTCCAAAGACTTTGAGATAAGAGATGATTGGCTTCCTTTCACTTCATGCATGCCTCTTGTAGATTCCTTTCATGAACACTTCTTATAAGAGAGTGATTAAGTAGATTGCATGAGTGACCACTTCGATTAAAAACTCTTTTAGCATGCTTTGAGCCATCCTGAACATAGTTCGATTTCTACTCTCTGCCAATCCTTTTTATTAGGAAGGTCTTGGGATCTTCAAAGGGAGATAAATTCCACAATCTTTACAATATTGATTCTTAGAATTTGTTGGATGTGAACTCGCATTGATTAGATCTCATGGCTTTAATATTAAGACTCCTTTCTTTCATAGCAAAAACTTTTAAATTACTTGAAATTTTCAAACACATAAAATTTCTCCTTGAGAAAATTAATAAAGAACAGAAAATATTTGTTTTCATGACAAGACATCAGTCTAACAAGGTGAGAAATATTAGTATGTATGAACTCAAGTGGTTTTGTAGTTTATAAACTTAACTCTTTCAAGAATCTTTTATGAGATTATTCCGAAGTGCACATCTTTATCAAGTTGGTTGTTGCAAGATAGGTCTCTCACCATCTCATTCTCTACTAGAAGTTTAAGAATGTAAGATATCATAGGTACCATAACTATGATGCATCGGTATAGCAAGACTTTAAATACTTTGAAGTTATATATTGAATATTTAAAAGAAATATTCTAGTTTTTTATATAAGTATCTTAGCAATCAATTATTTTTATCATCTCTTGAACAAAAAAAAATATATATGTTCTTTCAAGTGAATATCATACCCTTTCTTTAATAATTAATCCAGTCACAAAATGTTATTTTTCATATTAGGTATCAAGTAAACATTTGAGAAGAATAATGGCTTCCATTTTTCAAGAATATAAGATTTTTTTTACCTTTGCTTGCAATCAATATTTTGGATTCATTTCCATATAAGATGTTTCCTCTTATCACTTTATTGAGCTCAACAAACATGCCACTTTCTCCAAACTTGTGATAGTTTACAATAGCATCGGGTACCATTTATTTGCTTTTAATTCATCTTTCTCCTTGTATACTAAAAAGAAGGTTCTTTCATCTCCACTCCTCTCTTCTATGAAATTGCCATTTTTCTTAACTTTTCTTATACTCTGAAATAAGAAGCATAATTATTGAAAATTTTATAATTATAGACCTTTATATGAAACTCATCATACCTCAACCTTAAATTGCATCTTTAATGTTCTCTTGATGTTAATATAGTTTTACTCTTATCTATATTATTTAAGTAGCTAGATTTATTGTTGTTTCCATCCCTTCATTTTTCTCCCATTGTCCATAGCCACATCCTTTTCTGTGTTCTCTACCTCTTTCGCATCTATTATTGGTTTATCTATAAATAACACTTGACCTTACTAGCAAGCTAACTATGATAAAAGGGCCTAATAATTTGTATGAGAATGGAGAGAGTTGTCCACTATCAAGAATCAATTGTACAAATTCTCAAGATGCCAAAGATCCCACGAGCTAAAAAGATTAAAAGATTCCAAATGCTCCTCTTACCCTTTATTTATAAGGATATGAGGGCAATATGTAATACTACATCTATAAATAAATATAAAATAAAATGCTTTATAAACTCTCAATTATACAAACTATCTTGGACACGTGTCATCCTCTGACAAGCTGGATGGAGAATGACTTTGTAAGAATTTGATAATCTAACTTGGGGAAAACATAATAATATGCATGGGAGAGTCCAGTAGTATTGACTATGTATAGATGAGTTTGTTAGTAAGTATTGAGTAGGAGGGACCTATGGCTGGTGGAAACGTTGAAGTCGCTAACAACTTCCACTAGAGTTATGGATCTCCTAAAGAAGGAAGGTGAATGAATTAGTGTTGTAGAGAATGTGGGCTCCGTGGTTGAATGATTCTGTCATGGCAAGCTATGACAACCCAACCCAATATGACCCACATATAGGACATGTCATATAATATTAAATGATTATAGACTAAGCCCAAAATATAAGTTTTGGGGACTTCTTTGATTTCTTCAATTTAAAATAGATAACGAAGCTTCTAATTAACTTCTTGTAAGCAGAAAGAAAAACTCATCCATAATTTCTTTCTTTCATTCATGTTCAAAAATTATTTCCAATAAACCTACACAATATAGTACCTAGATATGGACCAGAATAGAGCGAGAAAATAAATATCCATAATTATACAAAAATATATAAAAATACTTATATAAACTTGAATGGATCAAAACATGCAACCTCAACTACTCAACCTGTTCCTTCCCTTTCCCCTAAACTGAAATAAAATGCTCAATAGGTGTGTACTAACACAACTCAATATGTCACACCTATCAACCTTGATTCCCAATAATAAATTCATTATACATTTATTGAAATAAAAGCTGTCAATGTTAAGTTATTATACTAAATAGAATAATGTTAGTAGTTAATAGTATTTAAATAGACTTTATGCTAAAAGTAAATAAACAAGTACTTTATATATTAGAGCAAAAAAGTAATATAATTCCCTCATGTCCTTATGCCTCCCATTAGAGATAGATATCAAAATGTAAACCCTTATGACTTCCTATGCTAGCATATCAAAATAATAGACCCTTATGACATCTAATGCTTAACTCATAATAGATATTAAAAATTTTAGGCCCATATGACCCTTGTACATTCAGCACCAAAACTTCCACCACATATTAGATATCCTCATACATTTAAGGTAGATAAGCATATAAATGTAATGTAAATAAATCATTCTTTAGAAATATACATAATGATTTATCGATGAGCAAGATATTCAACTATTTAGCAGAATTTTATAGTTTCAGAATTTCACCAAATTACTAGGGATTATTCAAAACATTATTTTAAAGTTTTAATTACACTACAGTCTTATTGTTTTGGATCAAAATATATTTTTAATTTGATAAAAATGGCACACTTTTCAAATCACTTAGTAGAAATTTTTCAAAAAATACTTAAATGTTCATAATAGTTATATCTATAAGATACATAAAGTTATACAATGAATGTTTAGTGGGTGTAAAATTATCCTCATTTTTATACTAACAAATTAAAATTTCAATTAAAAAAACTCAAAAATTTAATATTTTTGAAAACTAAAAGGTAAAATGTAACCTAACTCGATTGAGACAATTTCACAAACTGAACTGATAATAGAAAATAAGCTAGTCACTTAAATCCTACCTATCTCTCTCTAAAATCCTTCTCTCTCTCTTTCTCTCTCTCTATCTCTCTCTCTAGCTGGCTACACTTATGGGGAAATAACTTTTTGATAAAATAAAATGAGTGGAAGTTGATATTTTTAAAATTTTTGGACTTGGAATTGTGGCACCCAACCCCATAGCTCTACAGCATGTGCCACTAGAGAACATGTCGCCACAGGCCTATATTATTTTGATGAAAATATAAAGAGCTCAATGTTGTACTGTTACCTACCTCGGTGCCACAACATTCATAGAGGAATTTTTAAGATTTTTTTTCACCCTAATCATGCTCACAAACCCTCATGATTTGTCTCATAAAAGATTTAAACACTCATATGCATACAAAATACTCACAAACACATGAAATAAGGTATGACTTTTTATCTCAAACTATGAAAGGAAAAGTTTGATCTAGATGTCCTAATTAAATTTTATTAAATATATTTAATTTTTGTATTTATGTCATGCATGATTGTTTGACAAAATTTACATCAATTATTGCTACCTAATACAACCCTCCAATTTTTTTATCCAAGATGAGTAACATTACACTTAGAGACAAAATGTGAAATGAGTATATACCTGAAAGGTTGGAGTAGAATGGTAGATAAGATTAAAGAAAGTTGCCTTATATGGATTGGTCACATAAAATGTCATCCTTTCAATGACCATGTTAGAAGAGTAGATGCATTAGATATGTTCTATGTTAAGAAAGACAGAGGTAGACCTAAAGATACTTGTTCAGAAAGTATTAAAATAAGCTTTTTTATTAGATATAGATGATATTTTCACTCTTAATAGAAAGTATTTATGTAGTAGAGCTCATATAGTGGTTCAATAACTTGTTATTGTTGTTGTTGATTTAAATTTTTGACATTTATCAATTTATAATATTATTATTCTTTTAATATTTTTTAATTTTATTTTGTAATTCATTAACATGGATATGAGGTGGATGCTAAATTTAAATTTTATTATTTTTATTATTTTAAATAAATAATATATATTTTTCTTCGTTAACTTAAATAAATTCATAAATCAGAATATTCTTTTTTATGATTTATAAATTATCAAAGAGAAGGCTAAAGAGATTGATATTTTAGGATTTAAATTATGATATTAAGGTAGGAGTCATACCAGAAATGGTGTATTTGTGATTATTTATAAGAGTTTAAAAGATAATGCTATAGAAATTAATAGAATTAAAAATAGAATTATAGCTTTAAATATTAATATTGATACTAAGATTATTAGTATTATAAGTATTTATGCTCCTCAAGTTGGTTTATATATACATTCAAAATTAAAATTTAAGAATGACTGAGAAGAATTAGTACAAAAAGATACCTCTTGAAAAAAGAGTTTCTATTAGATGATATTTAAATGGAAATGT